TGGGTTATTATATAATAACTGACTTCATCCAAGGATTTGAGTAGCTGCATGTCGGTGTTTGTATAGATTAGGACAAATGGAGTATTATTAATAGAGAAGTATTTAATGTTTGGAGTATGATTTAGGCTGAAGTTGAAGATGACTCGGCTACTCTACTGATATTATTGGGTTAGGCCACACCAATTTAATTTGTTGGTTCTCGGATTTTTTCAGAAAAAATATGAAGCGACAGGGCGAAAAAAAAAATAAATAAAAACAGGTCTAGGCATCCTAATATAGGCGTAAATGCTACGAAATGAGCCATTAAGTCAACACAAAAGGCTGGGTTAAAATTTAAACATTGAATTTTGAACTTTTAATCAAACCACTGCAATGATAGATGGGAAAACTGTAACAACTAGGAAGAAAAGGACTTTCCTCAACTGTTGGGGGCATAACATGAGCATTTTTCAGTTGATTCTGAACCAGAATCATATTTTTTTTTTGCAAATCAGAAAAAAACGAAGAGGCGAATCTGAAAACCAACAAATTAAATTGGTGTGGCCTTATTATATAATAACTGACTTCATCCCAGGATTTGAGTAGCTGTATGTTGAGTGTTTGTATAGATTAGGACAAATGGAGTATTATTAATAGAGAAGCATTTAATGTTTGGAGTATGATTTAGGCTGAAGTTGAAGATTTGTTCAGTTGGCCTGTTTAAACACGGGGCTCAATTAGCAATCAGTTCAGTATTTTGTATGGCATGGCTCGTATGAGTTTGACATACCAATATCATAGATATTGCACATACCATATAATACCGAAATGACATGATACGTGGATACACATACATGGTATGTTTGGCATGGTAGGGTTGATGAGTCATGTGGCTGGCATGTGCAGACCTATGTCTGTTTCCTTTCTTAGAACTGTCTGTGTGTGCATGGGGGAGGGGGGCTCATAGTCCAGTTTCTATCATAGAATACTGCAATTCCTGATTTTTTCACTGTACTTTTATGTTCATGGTTTTCACAGTCACACGAACTTATCACAGCTAACAAATCATTAGTCTTTCGCCCTCTTCTCCCCACTACCGTAAACATATAGGTTTCCATTTTTCTCAGACTGTGAAATTCTGTTACCACGAACATAAAGTGAATCGCAGTACAGTATTTGATATCAAAAAGGCCTATAAGCCTGCCACCATCAAGCACGTCTCATTTTACAGTAAGTACTTCAAGTTCCAAGTGTACTTTTGACCTGCTGGTGGCCATGTTCAACCTATACTGCTATAGTCATCTAGATTTACCGCAGTGCACTACCACACTCTTTCTCTAAGTGCATAGTATTTATAAACAGTAGATAACGTTAAGTGTATACCCACTTGAGGAAAACTCCGTAACAAAACCTTTGTGGAAAAGCAGGCAAATTTATTTAAATGTCAATTTACGATTGGGTTAAATTGTAGCCACAGATAGCTGGTATACTGGAAGTATCCAGTCTATTTAGTGTATTGAAGCATAGGATAGTTGGAGAGCTGGTAATAGTTGGTCCCCCCAAAGTATATAATGGATAGTCCCATGTACTGTTAAGATAGACCAGATTCCCAGTTTTGCTGTCAATGCTGAAGAGTGAAGTCTTGACACAATGCAGGTTTAGACTAAAGATGTGAAGAAAACCAGACCCTCTCAGAAATGTAGCTCCTGTTAGGTATTGTGAGGTACAGGGCTCAAAATGCTTTTTCTGCACTGGTGCATGCAATGTTAAAAAATTACCAGCACCAAACAAATTTTACCGGAACTATTCAGAATTTAGGAAGTATGAATCATACTAAGCATTGCCATTATTTCCTGTCAATGCAGCAAATGAAAATCCACATGTATACTAAACCCAGTACATGGACCTATGCAGGTAGACATCAGAAACACCTGCACAGCTCTGATTTTACCTGCAGTAACCTGTAGGATCTCATTCCTCCTTTACTTAAGGTCCCAAAGGAGCACAGGTGTGTGCCTCCAGGTATGCAGGGCATGCAGTCAGTGTCCTTCGGGCTTTGTATAATGAAAGAAATCCTAGTAACAATGAAATAATGTTTAATTGGTCTTGGCAGGTCTTTGTGTGTATACAAACAGTACAGAATCGACTGATACTAGATTTTATAATGGATTTATTGAGAAGTCTTGATACAATGGATCTTTAAAAAATGCACAAATTGTTCAAGCAACTGGATAAATTTTGCATGTCATGGGTAACCACAATTGGTGTCAAAACAAAGTGAACAGTAGCTTCTAGTATTTTCCACATCTATCCAGTTGCTTGAGAAACAATATCTCGTGTATCTCAATAATCTATTGCCTAACAATCGTTGATGTGTGACAGTGTCTGTATAGAACATAGAGTTTCCAAAATCGCACCTATCGGATTTCTGTTGCCTTTTTCTTACTAACCTATGATTAACCTTTTGGGCATTGTTACACCTGGGCAGCCAGACCAGGTGGGGCTTTCCTGATGAATGGTGTAATTACATGCTAATTACAGTAACAACTGGTTTCCTTAGGAGATAGACGGCCTTGTAAGTTGTAGAGAGGCAGGTTTGGGTGACAGGGCTGTGATATAGACCACCCCTGTCGACAAAATGTACTGCGCCTGCACATGAATACTGTAGTTTTTGTGTACTATCGTAACTTACCATGCTTCAGTAACAGGCTTGGATTATAACTATTCATATTACAGTGCAGGATTAAACTAGAGAACTGAATAGGGGTTAAAGATGAAATTGTGTAAAGGAAATGATTTTTCGTTGTCAAAATCATCAATAATTTTGCACCCTTGTTTGATGTTCACCATTGACTTGTTGTCCAGTCAGCTCAAACACCTTTCATGTTTTGTAGCTGGGTAGATTCTTGAAGGCAATTTGCTGTCTGGCTTCCTGAGTGTTTCAGCTTTCTAAGCTGAGCTGAATGTGTGAAGGGTGGGGAGAAATGTGGGCCCCTTTGTTCCCTTCTCTAGCCTGAGGCTGTCAGTACGATTAGTCTACAGCTGGACATACTGTAAATGCATTTACCTTTGCAATGTTTTTTTTTTATAAATTATTGAAGAAAGATAGGTTTTCAGTGTTTTTAAAACAATTTTGTGGCACCTCAGAAATACAAAACACATTCATGTTAAGGGACATTAGCGGCAGTGACCATGGACAAGTGAATTTAAATAAAACCAACACAAAATTACTGGATTTACCGTACACAGTAAGTGTGTTCAGGGTTCCAAGATGCGCCTGCGCAGTGCAATGTACTGTGGCTAATTTGTCAAAGTTGAAGGCCGCTGAGACATAAACAAAAAACAAATACCACAGACATTTCAAGATGTACAGTATTTTGTGTACCTTCATCAGGACCTAGCATGCACAGTCGTAGCATTATAACAACTTCCTTTGACTGTATGTAAAATGAAGTAAAATCCAATAAGTTGCATGTGTTTGTGTATGAAATGGGTCTTCTAGTGCAGGAAATACTGGTGTGAAAGGAGCCTGGTCTAGCCTTTTGTGTCATTATTTTGTTTTAATTTAACGTTTCAGACATTTAGATTGATGATGCCTGCCGTATTCTGAATCTCAATGCCTGAATTTTGACTACGCTTTGTAAACCTTATTGTTTCTTGTATTCACCAGGATGGCTTGGCCCTGTTGCTGAACACACAGAGTTTGGAGGCTGGGGAGGAACACAGGCCTGCCACCATGTACATTGACGTGGACGGGGGCTCGGGGGCGGGGGCCATCGATGACTTTGTGGACCACGAAGACGGGTCAGGGCTAGGACCCGACGACGAGGACGGATTGTCAGAGGAGTCTGGCTCAGGTCTGTTGTCATGGCAACCTAATCCTCCAACAGCAAATCTGAAGAGATTAGAAAAAAATGTATATCCTAGTGTTATAAATATGGCTCAGAAAATGGCACCACCCACACATAAGCTACAAACTGATATTTTCAACAAATCATTTACATTGATCTTGGTTACGCAAATGTTAGTTGATATTAAGAATAGGTTCTGGCAGGCTTACGTAACCCTCTGGTATGTTTTAAGGCACGATAACAATGAATTGTCAAAGAATCTTGAGATATATTCACATACACAGTTGATACGTTAATCCATTTCTAACATTTATATGGTGGTTATGAAATGCTGGTGACCTACTTGTACTGTGCCAGTAGTCTGATATTCTTCTTGGCTGTCCTTTGTAGTCAAAGATTTGACATTATTCGTATTAAGAATGAGTTCTCCTTTTCTTCCGCAGGAGTGCCGTGGACAGATCTTGAAGAGACTTTCCCGGGAATTGTGGACACAATAGTCACTGCCAAACCTGTGGAGGAAGCACACAACCCTCCCCCATTCAACCCCTACACAAAACCACCCAAGGCAAAGCCACCCAAACCAACCAAGCCACCCAGGCCAGTCAAGACCTACCCTCCAAAAGTAAGTTGATCTCTAGAAAAAACACAGTATTGTTTTTGTATTTTTTTTTTTTAACAAAAATGCTTGCAAGTTCCAGAAGTTAAAAACATCTATGGAAACATTTTTTTTCATGAGTACACACACACATGAGCACTTCACTCACATACATACAATATTGTTGAGTCAAATTACTTATATTAGTTAATGTATGTTAATGCAAAAGATGTGCTTCAGCTTAAGCAAATTCAAGTGGCTGCACTGAATTTGAGTGCCATATTTTAGATTATATAGAACGTTTGCATGTAGGCATAATTTTTACATTACTTTTTTTAAAGCCACCCAAGAAAGCAATTGTTGAGGAGACAACCAAGAAACCAGTCAACAACCACATCTCCAAGAACCCAGAGCCAACAAGGGAAAGCAGCATCAAGGTACTGTAAACTGTTGAATATTTGCAATGGTGCTATTTTCACTGCAATTGTGTGTTTTTGCACTACTTTAAAATGCAAATATTAATGTTAACGTGGAACTACAGTACTGTGTTTGGTTGGTAGGTGGAGAATGAATGTTAACGCTGCAGTACTGTGTTTGGTTGGTAGGTGGAGAATGAATGTTAACGCTGCAGTACTGTGTTTGGTTGGTAGGTGGAGAATGAATGTTAACGCTGCAGTACTGTGTTTGGTTGGTAGGTGGAGAATGAATGTTAACGCTGCAGTACTGTGTTTGGTTGGTAGGTGGTGGAGACCCCAGAGCCCACCGATGAGGTGCAGATAGCAGCAGTGGAACCGCGGAGTGGCAACAACAAGTTAACAGCGCTTTTCTCACACCCAGGAGTCATGGCAGGTAGGCAACCTTTCCTTAAACATAATAACAGGAGCCTGAAGGAAAGAATAGCCAGGAAAATCATGATAAGAAATTGTGAATATTGCTTTAAGAGTGGGGGACCTTGTCTGATAGTTGCCTAAGGAATGGGGAAGATTCTTAGATGTGGGGAAACCATGTAAGGGTATGGAACCTTGTCTTAAGGGTGGGGACCTTGTCTTATGGTGGAAGACATTTTTTATGACACAACCTTTTATGCCCATTCCATCAGTTTCCTGTCATTTTGTGTCCACTTTGAATTTCTTTGTCTTTCATCATTGTTTGGTGGTACTATTGTTTCATTTGTTTTATTCTATCCCTTCCCATGTTTGTATTGTTGACTTTCCTTTATCTACTGTCCATTTTACCCCCCCTCCTTCTCCGATATGATCAACAACTCCCCCTGTCTTTCCTCGCCATTATTGCACCCCCATACCTTCCACCTTGCTGTGTTGCTGTGTACAGTTGTGTCTTTAGCCATAGCTACTTCTGGCCATAAGCTGTCCCCTTGGTACATAGCTGGTGAGTTCTTTCTGTTTTGTTCTTTGAAAAACAATGTTTAAGAAGTTGGGAATGAAAGTTAAGTCCTCTAGCCCCCTTTAAAAGGTTTTGACATAATGGTTTATATAGGGTTATGAAAGTTACTAACTAGTAATCTTTGCTAAGGCCAGCAGGCATCTTTACTCTGCTACCATGTTGAAACATTCTAACCCCTACCCCCACCCCTATTCTGACTTGTTCTGATCCATATTGCTGTGCATGCCTCCTTCATGCTGTGACTTGTGAATTGATCTCTGTGTTGTTCATGTTGTTGTCGCACATCGGATGGGACGCTCCAAACCCCCCGCCTGGAATGGTACAGTCCAAATCCACTAGGTCCTACAAAGATTTGCTCCCAACATGTAAATTGGTCATTATCATTTCTTTCAAACTTTGAAGGCATCCAATTTTAGGGTGGCACTACAAAATATTCTGGATGACAAAATCTGTTTGATGTTGATATTTACTGACATTTAGCTTATTCTGTGTACTACCGTTTATTATGTGAAGCATTTGAAATCGGCTCCAAACAAGCTATTTCTTGGTACCACCAATAAATAGCTAGAACCAGCCTATAATACAAAACAAGCAACCGTTTTCCATCAGCGACATCAAATTTTTGCCTCACAAAAATGCTATGGAACAGGATTAATTCAACTTACTACATTGACTTTTCAACCCAGTTTTACTTTCCTGAAATCACTTTTGGGGTGACCACAAAGAATATTGCTGCGGTTTGGAGCGTTCCATGTCATGTGTAGTGATGTTGTTCTATATTGTGCTCTTGTGTGTTTCCATATGTGGCCCGTTCCGCCCTGTCCATCCCCATTTGTGGTACTGGAATTGTCCGGGGCAGCAACAATAGTGGACATTGCCATTCCCAGTGGTTGTCTTCTGCTGATCTGTCTTCCCCCTAAATTGTCTAAACATGGTTTGACCCGACTGGGCAAAGTATGGCCAAATGGACCACACCATTGTGTGAATGGGGTAGGGCAGGGTGGCAGGATGTGAAAACTAACCAAGCTAACAGCTGTCCCTCCGCTCTCTCCCTGTGACAACTGCTCTGTCCTAACTTAAAGTTGGAAAGTTTGAAGGTAACTGGCTCCCCCTTCCAAACTTAGCCTAACTATAGACTAGTGCTAGACTCTGGTCCAGCCACTCTTTCCTTATACCTTGTACAGCTGCACTGACTCTACCCTGATCACCCCCATGGAGAAGTCTGGTGGTCCAAGCTAACTTTTCCTCTCTAAGTGGCTTAGTTACTTGGCATTTTACTACCTTCATGTTTTAGAGGTCTATAATACTGCTTGGATATTTTTAAGACAGTGACTGTCCATTTGAAAACTTGATCAATTATTCAAGATAACTAGAATGATATCCATGCCAAGTTTAATTTAAAAAAAGGGGGATTGTGTTGTTTGGACCACGAGACCATGGGTGTGATATTAATTGCATTGATGAAACACATCTACTACCTTCTAGTCATTTCCATACTTAGCTGCCCTTCCTCCATGCTGCCTCTTCCCTCTTTAAACAATGAGATCTCCACCTAACTGTAGAATTAAACTCTTTCCCTGCACATTTCAAGGAAAGCACATCCTCCCAAAGAAAAGTTACATTTAATACATTGTTTTACCCAGTAGCTAACTCTCACAGTTCTCAAATGATCTTTGACACCCCTCCCCTCGATACATGATAGGTTCCTCCTCTGGGTTGACTTGTTATATGATGTTTATGACAATGGGGATGGCAGGGACTTGTGATGTTCTGTACCTGTTGTTGTTTACGTGTTTGTCACAGCATGTTTTCATCCATCACATTGCCATGGTGATTGTTTATCATAATGGAGGTGCAACTTGTAAACCAGTAGCACACTATGTGTTAGTAGCTCATATCTATGAAGTTCTTAACATATGGTAGGTAAGGGATCACTTTAGGTTTTTATGTAAGAGAAAGATAAAAGATATGAAAGACGTTTTTATAACCCAGAAGGTATCAGTGTATGTTATGAAAAGGGAGCGAAATGGATACGTTCACTTGAGTCATCCTAGCAGATCTTGTTTTGAACAGAATGAAGCAGTTTTACTTCAGAATACTCTGTATTTATTGATAGGTGCATGCAGTTATGTATTAGTGAAAGTAGAAAGTGTTGTTTGTTTACTGACAATGTTGTGTTGTGTTCTGTTGTTCAGCTGTTATTGGTGGAGCGGTTGTGGGTCTCCTCTGTGCGATCCTGCTCATCATGTTCATCGTGTACCGGATGAAGAAGAAAGACGAAGGATCCTATTCGTTGGAGGATCATCCTGCCAAGAAGCTGAACACCAACGCTTACGGCAAAACTTCGAAAGAGTTCTATGCGTAGAGGAGACACGCATGCATGTACCATGGGCCAGGGCCTGCTTTATTTTGATAAGTGACTGGTAGAAATGCTATGATTGGCTAGAAAAAGAGCACTTTACCATACATGGGAAAAATAGCCAATGGGATAAGAGGACACTTCCATGTATGGTAAAGAAGCACAAGCGCAAAGTAGCATAAAAGAGACTGTGATTGGTTAATGGTACATCCTTTGCCGTATACTATAGTGATGTGAATTGTTGATCCTTGACTTAGAAGCTGTAATTTGTCACTTGCCATACTGTGATGACCATATATGGTAAAACAAACTGTCAATTAACCAATCACAACAGATCATTTTAACAAAAGAAGTCACCATGCCTATGCTAAAAATCATTGTAAGATTCCTGGTTGCTATGCCAACGAGAATGTAAACACAACTGAATGCCACTTGCTGTCAGGTTGGATTTGATTGGTTGGCTTTATCTGGAAGTGTGTGAACTGACTCTCCTTTGATTTCATTGGTCAATTGCGTATTCTCAGTTTACATTGGACAGCCTGATTGGTTGAGATTTTATGTGTGCCTTCTATATTTGGAGATGAAAGAGAAGCTGCTGACCAACAGGAAGTGAGAGATTCAGTTGAAGGAAGTAGTGATATTCTTGTTACCATGGCAACAGAAATGCCAGTATCGATCTTCCACTACTTCTAATTGAAAATAAGTTTTTGTAACTTTTAAAGATTTTTTTCCTTTTTATCTATCTTAAAAACGTAACTTATTCTTCACCGATGTATTTCACCTCAAGTTATTTCGTATCAGGGTATGTAGAAATTGTCTCAAACCAGTATAGAAGCCTCTAGCATGCCAAGGGTCGGAGATAAAACTTCAGGTTTTCTCTGGAAAGCCGTAGACAGCTATAACATAACTTTAGTAAAGTCTGGAACTTCTCCTATCACTGTATGTAGAAACGTTTGCACTTCTGAGCTTTTGTTGGGAAAAAAATCACTTTGTAGTAGACTTAGTGGTGGTGGGAGTCAATCTGTTCTTGATTAAGACGTGAAACTTTAGCCAGCTGGCTGGGAGATATAAGGTTAGGAACATGTAGATCTTTTCAGGTGGGGAGGGGGGCATAAGCCACTGGGATACCATGGGAATAAAGCTCTTTGTAACGTCTACAGCCACATTGCTTTCATCTAGTTCCCCAGTATCATGCTTGAGAGCTGTTTGCGTCTAAATTGCTGAGATTTTTTTCTGTCGCTTAGCTGATATTTATTAGATCCATTGAATCCCACGTGACAGCTTGTTTTTTTTCCATGTTGTGAAAGTTGACATGCGTGCAATTAGCATGCTGAAAATTATGTTCTTGGTCCTTACCTTGGATGATACAAGGGTGTAGCACTATATTTGTTATAGAGAAAAGAAGAGAGGTTCTAATTTTGTGCTTGAATGGCCTTTATTGAGTGGCTAGCTGTATGTAGATTTTTTTGCTTGGCATCCATATATATATGTAAGGTTGTATACAATTCAGTACTTTCTGCTTGATTTTTTTGTTGTTATTAACACCTACTAGTATACTATGTATGTAACGTTAAGTGACAGACACCACTTTGCTAAGGCTTTGGTTCACCCCCATGTGAAGTATTGGTACAGTCTGAAGAAAATGTGGAAGATACCATCAGGAAAAATAGGGGAGGCAATGTCACCGTCTTGTACATACAATTCATAGGGCAGATTTTATACTGTGCCTTTGAATGTTAAGTTGGAAAGTACCAATTGATGCATGGGGGTGCACCAATGATATCCACCAGAAAAGTGTGGTCTGCTCAGCTAAAGAATTATCCATTCCCGATAAGTAAGGATGCTTAATATATTTTTATAGCTCGGAGTGATAATTGATAATTGGGCCCTGATTAATTAAAATGGCATAATTCCTACTTAGTGAACGGGCTGGCTTGGCACGATTCAGAACACTGAACGAGTTGTGGAATCAAAGAAATAGAAATTTATTGTGCATGGTTTCCAGCTTGTGGAGAAAAGGCACTGCTTCAGATCTGGTCGTGCTCAAGCCTGCCCCCTGGTGTAAGAACCCTGTAGTGCAGGTAAGAACAGATATGTGTATATTAGCTTCCCAAAATGTTACTCTTCAACTAATAGGTAGGGAATACCTCAGTTTTTCTGTCCCTATTCTTCCCTCTACCTCACTCCCTAAAATCACCAGTGGAAGAGGCCAATTGCCTTTCTTGGACTGTTCCATTGGTGGGTTTTGGGGACTGTAGGTTGTACAAGGATGATTTACATATTTTTCACCAACCTGTAACAGTGTTATATCCGAAGTATGTTGTCTCTTACAATCCTTAGGTTTTGGATAGACCCAAAATGCTTGTTTTTTATTGCAAAGTGACACCTGAAAAAGTCATAGAATCTGAAATAACTGCCACTTGAACTTGGTTGTACAACAAATCCTATTGGCTACTGTTAATAAGTCAATTAACTCACTTCAGCCAATGAAAACTGGGCATCTGGGTCTGATACATAACACTAACTACATTGTATTTACCCATAACTTCATAACATGAAAAAACTTCAGTACATGTAGATACAACAAAATAGCAACTTTGTAACACAACCGTCCACACCTATTCTATGAGTGGAACTGTCCGTTTTGCACCACTGGATCATTCCATGTAAAAGAAATAGGTACATAACTCCACACGGTTTTCAAGAGACGGGTCCACAGTTTGTGTTGTACTCACCGGACTTCAATAAACACCTTTACTTCTACATCTGGCTGTGTCTCGTTTTATTATGTGCTATTTAATTTGTTGGTAACCAAATTGTTTCATTTCTCTAATGTATATAAGATCGTGGAGCTCTAGTCCTTACTCGAAGTTAAACTGATGTACCAGTAACTGTATAATGTAAAGTGACCAGCTCTGTCATAGTACACCACCATTGGGTGTCTGCTACAGCACCAGTTGCCATGGTGACAGGTGATTGACCTTATGTGCTTGTAGAAGAAGGAACAGAGCAAAAATATTTGTTTCCTTCTACGAAGGTAAACGTACATAACAATAAGTGATAACCTATAGCACAAAAAAAAACGCAAGACAGCATAGAAGTTAATCTGTGAGGGTCATCCACTGAACCGAGACGGGGGGCGACACAGGTTATCTGGCACGGAGGGTTATCTGAGGTGGGGGGAGGGGCGACACATGTTATCTTGAACCTTTAGCACAAAAAAAAAACATGTAAGACATCATGGAAGTTCATCTGTGAGGGTTATACACTGAACTGAGACGGGAGGCGACACAGGTTATCTGGCGCGGGGGTTATCTGAGGTGGGGGGGGGGCGACACATGTTATCTTGAACCTTCAGGCCACAGCAAGTAAATTTTATGGATGACATCCTCCACAGACTCCAAATCTAATGCGATAGGGCGTTAAAAAAACAAGGGGGGCCAAAAAAACAAGATTCCTACATTTTCAAATTTTGACATTATATACCTTGTTAAACAAGAAATGATACCTATATTGTGCTAAGTGTTTGCCAACTATTACAATATTCATTTATCACTGAGACGACTGAAAAATAGAATAAAAATGAAGAGGTGAATCCGAGAACCAACAAATCAAATTGCTGTGGCCTAAACACTGTAAATTGATATTCCTGTGTGTGGAAGGTGTTCAGCACCAAGGACAGGTTTGCCTGTGTGTGGACGGCGTTTATTCTACCACGGAATAAAGTCCCCGCGAAAATAAATGAATTTACAGTCAATATGAAAATTGGGCAAGAGTGTTATGTTTCATACTGTGGCCACATAACAGCTTATTCTTGAAAATGTTTATTTGTGATGATAGAAATATTAATAATCTAAAGGTGCCCTGTAGCTGCATTTTCATCCATTTTGTTTACCGAGATTGACATCAACGTTAGTATTGTTCGTAATTAGATAATCTAATCGTCCTTCTTCGTCACATATAAGTGCCTGGCACCGAAACGGGCCGTCATTGGTCGTTCATAATTAGATTACCAACTTCACATTAATTAGGCACGGCCGTTATGCACACCTGTGAAAAAAGTTTGGTATCGTCCGTTCAAAATGGCGATTTCGGACGATGGGGATACTCTGGGCTGATTTTTTAAATACGAATTTCTGGGTGCTTTTTAGCGTTATCGTCGGTAGAATGTCTCGGTAAGTGTGCAGCAGAATGCTGGGGAGTTTTCGCTGTGGATTTGTGCTGTTCTGGTGATGTTTTGAGGAGAAAATGCGGATTTCCTGACCTGGCGAATTTTGGAGAAGAGAAGAAAATGGCGCGACAATTGGGAGAGTAGCGTGGTATGGAGACGACTTCGCTTATTGTTGCAGGTAAACCAGTACATTGTTGGGCTGACATTATTCCTTAGCAACTGGTACTAACATGTCAAGTTATATTTCGTAAGACATGACCTATTTCTGTATTAGGCAGCGACCGTTCCTAATTTTACACAGGCTTAGAAAAAGTCTATCAAGTTGCAGTGTTTTCAACAACATTTTCAATGTGTGGTGCGCTCGTAGAGTAGTAAATATATGTGCATGTCTTTTTAGTCAATTGTTCAGCATTTTGATGTTATATTTGTTGAAATAAATTGTGTATTCACCAAACCTTTTTCTTTATCTCCACGTGGTTCAAAACACCTGTTGGAATGTGGCCGTCGTTACACCTAATTATTTTTCATAATCCCGCCAAAAATTTGCGTAAACAAGATGTCGTCCTCAAAGTTTCGAGGGGCCGAAATGAATACGATGCAAAACGTTTTAAAACTAGTTAAGTCGAGTTGACCATAGTTTCGTTCTAAATAATCATTTGCGATATAATATATATATATTTAAAAGCTTGTTCGTTTCCATTTTAGATAGTAATTCAGTAAATAGTAATGACCAAGCCCAAGTATTTCTGGCGCAAACACTACAGTTGCAATACATTTTGCGCCGAGTTTTTTTTTCGTATTCCACAAAAAGTTTTAGTTGAAGGGGGTTGATTTATTTTATTGTTGTTTGTATCCCCGATGTTATGGTCATCATGTAGAGTTTTCGTCGAGGTATGTGTTTTTTTTAAATTAAATATATTTAAGGTGTGTGTGTTCATTGCTGTTCTTTAATTTGAGACAAGTGTCCAACTTATAATGTATGTATGGTTAGATGATGACTGATGCAGTAGTGAGAACTTCTGTCAGAACCTAACAAGACAGATTGGACCAGATAATTTGAAGACCAAAGAGGAATATCAGGTGAGAAAAATCTGAATTCTGCATTTTACCTACAGTTATTTTGAGTTGAGACAAGTGTGTAACTAATGTCTGTGTTTAAAGTTAGGTGGCTGCTGACTGATGCAGTAGTGGTGAATTCTTTGTAAAACTGACAAGAGAAGATTGGACCAGACCAGATGATTTGAAGACCAAAGATGACTCTCAGGTGAGAAAAAAATCTGAATTCTGCATTTAACCTACTATTTACTTCATGTTGTTTGAGACAAGTGTGTAACTTCTGATGTCTGTATAGTCAGGTGGCTGCTGACTGATGCATGTAGTGGTGAATTCTTTCTAAACCTGACAAGAGAAGATTGGACCAGACCAGGTGACTTGAAGACCGAAGATGACTTTTAGTTGAGAAAAAATCTGAATTCTGCATTCAACCTATTATTTGCTTTATTTGAGACAAGTGTGTAACTTCTAATAGTTAGGTGGCTGCTGACAGATGCAGTAGTGAGGACTACTGTCTGAACCTGACAAGAGAAGATTGGACCAGATCAGGTCATTTAGAGACACAAGAGCAAGATGACAGCATCCACAGGTGAAACGATGCTTTAGAAGATCTGTTTGACTCTAGCATTCTTCCCTTAAACGTCTTCAATCAATCAAATCAATCAAATGGTGTTTTATTCGTAAAAAAACGTGGACTTTGCAGCCAAAGGCTGAATTGCGTCCAGTTGTACATGCAAATTCATTACACATTTATTTACATTTATTTACACAGGCATTATTTACAACGACTTTAACGTACGGTGTCTAACACAAATAGTGACTGTTCAGGAGGTAGGTCATGTATGGGACGCTACTCTGTTTGTACCGCTCAGTTCTACATTTGGTAAGGGTCAGTTTGTTACTGGAACGAGTGGTGCGCTCAGTGGTGGTGCCCCTCCTGGGCGGTAGCCAGTGTTGGAAGTCCTGTGATCTGAGAACTTTCATAGCAAAGTTCAGGCAAAGTTGGACCCTTCGGTCTTCTAGCGTAGGTAAGTCCAGCGTTGCACATGCCTCGGGGTATGAAGTATAAGCTGACCCGAGTATTACTCGACACGCGCGTTTCTGGATATACTCGATCCTGTGACGTTGTCTGGTAGTCAGTCCAGGATGCCAGGTGGGCGCCGCGTATTCACAGCTCGGACGGACAAACGTTTTGTAGCAGGTAAGTAAGTCATCCCTAGAGAGGTCAAACTGTTTGAGTTGTTTGAGGAGGAAGAGCTTCCTGCTACCTTGTTTGACAACGTGATCGACATGAGTATTCCAACCTAGGTCGGCCTGAAGGTGTAAACCAAGGAGTTTCACTGCCTTCACTTCTTCCAACAGTATACCAGCAATGGATAAGGACGGCAGTGGAGGGGGAGTTCTTGTGAAAAACACGTGCATAGCTTTGCACTTCCCTGGATGGAGCTGCATTTTCCTCGATGTTGCCCATTGCTCAAGATGGTTTAAGTCTGTCTGAATGGTTGAGGTATCCCCGATCATTCTGCTCTCCGCAAGGTTAAGATCGTCAAAGAACTTCCACCGCCTAGCGGAGGAGTTCTCGTTTGCACTGTTGATCAGAGCGAGAAATATCAGTGGGCCTAAAACAGTTCCTTGTGGAAGGCCACAAGTAGTCTCCCTCCAGTCAGAATACACCCCCTTGTACATTACTCTCTGTTGCCTGGCGGTGAGGAAGGAGCAAATCCATTTGGCGAGAGAGCTTCTTAGTCCCAGTTCGAGTAGACTTGAGACAGCTAGGCTGTGATCTACTCTATCTTACACTTTATAAAAGTAACACACATGTAGCAAAACATCTTTCACATTAATTTTGTGTTGCCTTACTTGAATAAATGTCTGGTATATTGCACTTCTTTGAGCACTTGTCTACATTTCTAGGAAGAGGCAAAGTACAAGGTCACAAGAGTTAATCTTTACCTGGTAGCTAGTTGCCCATTCATACCTGGCATCAATTGTTCTTTTATATAGGAATTAGGGTCAGCAGTCCTGATGTTCCTGTCCAAACCAGGCCACAGCCAACCAGCTGACTTAAAGTTAAAGACAGACTAAAGTGAAGAGATTGTATACAGGTGAGACAATGCTAAATTACAACTTTATTTTTCTATGTGAACATATCCAAGCAATGGGGTTGTATGATTGACGGATTTTATCTTTTATGGTCACTCAATGTTGCCTGGAATTTTTTGGGGAGCACCACACTAATTATTCATTATATCATGTACTGTAGGTGTGTCCTGATGTTCCTGTCCTGACGTCCCTGTCCTGAGTGGGAGATTCAGGGAGAATCATGTGATGATGGACAACTTCTGTCCACACCAGACCAAATGATGTCTTGGCAAACCGGTTGACTTGAAGATACAGTGAAGAGTTTGTACAGGTGAAACAACGCTTTACAACTTAAAACCTTTTTCTGATTTGTTACAAACCCTGAAGCATAACACACAACCAGTAATGTGTTTAAAAACACCTTTCCATAGCCAAACACTTTCTATATCTATGAAAG